CAAAACGAAGTGAGGGGGGTGAGGGTGTTTCCATGAAGGCATCACAAACATTTCCAGACCTTTTGCATTTTTCACAAGCAGCTTACCACGCACGCATATTTCCATAATGCACACCTTAATATGTCATAGAGAAAAAAATAGAGAGAAAATAGAGATATCTTAAAAAAACACGATATCATTCCACCCTGGTGAAATCGTCATTAGCGACAAAAAAAGTCGATGTCACTCGGGAAAAAAAGAAGCAAAAAAGCAAAAAAGCAAAAAAGCAAAAAAGCAAAAAAGCAAAAAAGCAAAAAAAAGGACGAACCAAGAGGGAGAGAAAAAAGGAGAAGGAGAGGAAGGTGGAACGGAGAAGAGAAGAGAAAAAAGGATAAACACTGCCTATTTTGAATCGGAAGAGGGAGGAAGATGCATAATAATGGGAGTATTTCAGGGAGAGAGAGGTCAGTCCTTAGAACAAAAACCATGGAGAAAAGTTCAAGCAAACTGATGTACAAGCTCGAAAAAAACAACCAACTATATCGCACACCTCAAACCTTCGATGTCCATCGTCCACGTGGTTCCGTGCTAGGCAAGAAGGGGGGATGGGTCAGAAAGGGAAATGGGGAAGGGGGATGGGGGAAGGGGTAAACCCCGCTTCAACTCTTTTCTCCAGATCTCGCACGCCCTGTATCTGTGCGGACCATCTCGCCGAATTGCGGGGGGACGTGGCAACTCCCTAAAGCGCTTTTCTGCGCCATGCCACGTGGGGCGTCATCAGAGGGGGGCACATCTTAGATAATCTTTGGAAGGCGAGGGGGTCGAAGGGGGGCAAGGGGTGGTGTGTTGAAACAAGGATGATGGATGGTTCTGTGGGCGAGGGGCAAGGTTTTTGGAGGGGAAGAGGGGGGAGGGGGGTCCATGTGGCAAGGGATGGGGAAGGGAGTGGATGAAATAGAGGAACGAGAGGAAGGAGAGGAAGAAGAGGAACGCCAAAAAAGCGCATGATGAAATCTTGGTCGTCGATCTATGCTCCATTGCCTCCGCTCCTCGCTATCTCCCTTAGTTAATCCGTATGTCTTCACGTGGCGCCGATCTAAGAAAAGAGGCATCAGCAGCATGCGAGAAGAAGAGAAATGAAGCAAATGGTGCCCGCGATCAGCACCGCGAAGCGCCTAGTGGAAACACGAAGAAAGACTTGCTCAGAGAGGTATGCAGCAAAGAGCGCGCCAGCTATAGCGAGATTCAAAAGCAGCGCGAGGAGGAGGAGGAGTAAGAAAGCAGTGTTTTGTGCGAAGAGGGATGGACGAAGCAGAGCAGGTTCGGCGGGGCAGATGGAGGCGGTTTGCGTGACGCTAGACCTGGGTGCGCCTATGCGCAGGGGCGAGAAGGCAAAATCGAGGGGGTGTCGTTCATCGGGGTCGTTACCACTTTCTTTAAGTCTTGTCGCTCCTCCTCCAGGTCCCAGTCGGCGAAGAAGTCCATGTTGTCCACCACCACGCTCAAACGTGCCGATCGCAAAACCGAAAAGCACCGTGCTCCACCCTCTGTCTTAAAACAATTACCGCACGGTGGTCCGATGAATAGAACCCCTGCGTTCTGTTTTGATATAACCGCGGTGCCCGGTTGGTGATAAGGATCTTGTGATGGAAGCCACCATAAACAAAGGATTTATGAAAACCCAACAAAACCTATAAAACCCAACATTTTGTATGGAGTGAAATTGTGGAAGTGAAACATTTGTATTTAACAAAAAAAGAACAACGTCTTTAATCCTTTCTTGAGAGACGAGGTCAAAAACCGAGTTAAAAGTGAAGCGATCTTAAAAATTTGTCGGAAAACCCTTTCTAGCAAAAATCATGTTATAGGACTATAAGTGATTTCGAACACGACGAACAGACCGACAAATAACAGAGATCCAATAAAAAAATTGCAGTGCGAACTCAAAAACTGTAAAAAAAACAGTTATAGTGAATACCGACGTATAGGACTATATGTCGTTCTCAACAATATAAATTCTTATTAAGCAATTTCGAAGCTAACAGTGTAAAATAATAACACAAACAACTTTTGTCTTGGATGCATCCTCAAATTATTGGTAAAATCCAAGTTCAAAATAGAAATCAAAAAAAAAAAAAAAAAAATCTATTAAAAAAAAGGAATGGTTGCCCATGCAAGTGATAACATGTTAAGGGGAACGTAGTTACAAACAAGATAAAATGTCAGTCTACTTACGAAACCCTCGAACACGTTCACCATGCTACATGACTTATATGACTATACACATTATATTTTTATACAATAAAATAAACTGCATATTTTCATTCTTTAATAAACGATGCTTCGCTTGTTAGTGATTTTTTAGGAAAACCATGTTTTTTTTCCTCGCCACTTCCAGTAGTCCTAAAAACTTGCCTTTTTATTGAAGTTATTTTACTTCACGTGGAATCTTGCTCCTACAGAAGGCCTTAATACTGTACTTTTAGAATGTTCAATAAATTTCCTGGGTAGCACCACGTACCCGTATGCGGTGCATACGCGTAAATGCCAAAAAACCAGCATACGCGTATGCGTGTTTTTTTTTTGTTTTTTTTTTTTACATATATATATAATGTATATATAATATATATACTATTATATAGCATACTCACGGCCAGATTCAGTCATGATGAGGGTCACGATTTCTCAAAATGTTCTCTTCTTATTACTTCTGAAGTAGAAAACGACGAAACTGACAACCTCTTTGCATGAATGTCGCCCGACATGTCCAACCTGTCGGAGCCTCAACGGTAATTGCAGTCTGTATAGTAGGTTTCTTGCAAGCCATGATGAGGGTCGCGATCTCTTAAAACGTTCTCTTCGTATTACTTCTGAAGTAGAAAACGACGGAACCGACAACCGTTTTTCCTAGATTTTTTTTTTTTTAATAAAAAGAAAAAAAACATAAAGGAAGAACATCAGAATGGGCCTCACCACACCACTTTCGAAATGTGAAAAAGACAAAAAATATGGCGGGGGCATCTGGTCGTGTTCTAGCGGGAAGTTCATTCCCATTTTGCAAATTTTGAGAGTGGTGTGGCGATGCCAAATTTCTTTGCATGAGTGAAGCCTGGCGCGTCCAACCGGTCCGAACCTCAACGGGAATGTCAACGGGTTCGCTGCACTACTCTCGATATGCACAACAAGACATATATGGCAATGTATCTTTCCATGTTCAAGAGGCGGATTCAGTCTCATTTGTTCAGAGCTTCTCAAAAAAAAAAAAAAAAAGTTCCAGAGATACGTTACGTGCTTACCTGACTCATCGGCCTTTCACTCTCCACTACCCAAGGAATGAATGAATCTTCCGCCAGAACATGGAAAGATACATCACCATTTTTTTTGTCCTTTGTGCATGTCGCCCCGCTTCCGGATTCGTGTTGCCCGTTGATAAGGGCGGTTTCTTCGGTCCGATAGTGTCAGCACAAGATTTCTCCTCTCTCTCTCTCTCTCACACACACACACACACACACACACACACACACACACACACATACACACACACACACACACACGCACACACACACACACACATACACACACACCCACCAATCCCATCGCCCACCCCCTCGACAACCCCAGGAAACGACCCGCTATGACCACGTACACGGACCCTAAATTTGCGTATGCGCGCATACGAATGCGTCACGTATGCGCGTATGCGGAGCCCGCGTACGTGTACGCCGTGCTCCCCAGTAAATTTCGTTCAAACCCAACATTTTTTTTTTTTGTTTTTTTACGAATCCTATATTTAGACCTATTCACACGTTTAGTGCGACAATCCTACGGTCAGAAAAGAACAAAACAAGAACAAGAAAAAGAAAACAGGAAAGAAAGACGAAAAAAGGAAAGGGGAGCTAAGACTAATGTAACAAGGGCCTAACCGCAGTCTCATGCGTCCCTAGTACCGACTATCAAAACCTTCGTCGTTATCTGAGAGCGAGTGGCTCCCTTCGTCCGCGCGTGGCATGATCGTACGAGGGGGATTTTATTCGAGGCGTTCGTGGGAAGAAACTTGCTCTCGTCCGCCTTTTTAAAAAAAAAAAAAAAAAAAAAAAAAAAAAACAAGAAGAAAAAAAAGAAAAAAGAAAAAAAAGGAAAAGAAAAAGAAAAAAAAACAGAAAAAAGAAAAAGAAAAAGAAAAAGAAACAAGGAGACGAAAAAAAGAAGAAAAAAAAAAAAAAAGGGAAAAAAAAGGAGAAAAAGGATAGAGAAGGGAGAACAAGAGTGTGCCCAATGGTGGAATCCCGAGTCCCGCGAGCCCCGATGCCTGGTCCTTTCGTTTTCCTCCTGTTTTTCCTTCTCTTCCTCTCCCTCGTCCCTGCTCCTCCCATATGTATGTGTGTGTGTGTGTGTGTGTGTGTGTGTGTGTGTGTGTGTGTGTGTGTGTGTGTGTGTGTGTGTGTGTCCCACCCCGTTCCCTCCGGGGGATGATAGGGTCCGAGGGGATGGTCATCCGGAGAACAACCGACCCTCTCGGCCCAGTCGTCCCCCGGACACCATCCACACACATATACACACACACAGTCACAAACGCACACACAGACAGACACAACAGTTAGTCAGTGATTCCATACATATTGGTCAGTGCTTCTCTGACCGTATGTACGGACACCCTGCTAGGTTGATAGCGATGCGCATTGCGTAGAGTTTTTTTGACAACCTTCCAGCAAGCATCCCTCCCAAAACCATTACCCCTCAAAGCCGTCACCAACCTCTCTATCGCCTGAGCTGCATCTTCTGGTTCGGAGCACAACAACAAGATCTGCGCAACCTGGGTCGTGATGATCTGCAGCGATTGCTTGGCGCTCCTATTGGACTTGTACCTTATGAATCTGTAGGGAGCAAACCCCAAACCCGCGCACGTCTAGAAGTAATGTAAGATCCCGTAATCGGGGAAGTGATCGAGAAGTAATGTAAGATCCCGTCATGCTGAGGAAGTTGGCTCTGCGCCCGCATCCATCCACCGTAACCTTGGTGTTCTCTTCAATTTCTATTTACTCGTCTGGGTAGATCCAACAAGGGTCGCTTGCTTCCCTATCTTGCTTCTGCCTCATGAAGTCCTTGATAATCGTGTTGTTGATCGAACCCAGGTCGTCGATGTACCTGGAGGTGTTTGCGAAGTAGGGGATCAGATGCGCATTCCCCGTATCCGCCAGCCTCATCATGGCGTGATATTCGTACTTGAAGAAATAGATGTCGCACCAGATCGGCGAGCATGCCAAACCCATGGGGATCCCCCTCACCTGCCTCCATACGTAGTCCCCCATGCGCAGTACACTGTTGGCGATGCACCGCTCTGTGAGCCAACAAATATCCTCTTCCCTGAAGACCATAGATGCCATACCCTCTGCCTGATCGCTGTCCACCTAGGATGGCCACAGGCTGCCATTCGCCCATACTCTGACCCGAATGACATAGCACGAGCTCCTCTTCCGCCGCACCGCATCGCACTTTGCACATAGAATCTCACCGCTGCCGGAAGACTATCCTCCGAGTTGTCCGTGGGGATCGTCTCGAAGCAGCGGGTGATGTCGGTACTGAAGACGGAAAAGACTTTCTCCAGAAGATTCGCAGAGAACTCCCCTACTAAGGCTATGGCCCACCATAGATTTGGCCTCACCCCATACTGTTCCTCTACCTCCAGGCTCCTTTCCTGACAGAACGTCTGCGCCAACGGAAGGAGGAAGCGAAGCAGACAGGCACAGAGGTCCGCTGCAGGGGACACGACCGTATTGGTCGTGTTCGTGATCCAACGAAATGTGCCCTTGTGCGCCTTGAACACCGTCATGAGATACGGGAGTGCCGCTGATGCGATTGGAAGCGCAGGTATGGCCGAAAGCTCGCCCTGTATGCGCGCTATGACTGCAGCAGGGGGGGGGGCGATACTGACGAATTCGGGGCCAGACAGTCTCTGAAAGGCCATCTTCCGTATGAAATTCTTGCATACGAAAGCAGGAGTATTCGGAGCCTTATCCGTTAGACAAATGAGGAAGCGGCCAGTGAGGAATTCCAGCTCGCGTTTGACTGCCGAATGCTCGAATGGCTCCGCGGTTACGTGCCTGTGCTCCTCCCGGTACTTCGTAATCCTCCCCTTTGCTTTCTTCAGGACAATCCTTCGCAAAAATGACCGGGTGGATGTCGTGAGATCTCGCAGTTCCATTACTGTTGTAAAGAGTCTGTCCAGGAAGTCGTCCACCTCGCTCTCTGCTTCATCCACGTCCAGGGCCATGCAGGGGATATGGTTGAGTCCGGAGTTGATGATGCCCTGGAGTAGCGGGTTTCCCGTGATTGATGTGTCCAAGGTGATTACATGGGTACAACCCTCGTTCTGGAGCAGTCTGATCGATGAGTCGCTCCGCATGTCCGCGTACCTCCGAGACCTACATGGACATTGTTCCGGATCGTAAGCCTCCATCCATTATGCCGTGCCGAAGTCACAGGACACCTCTGCCGGTCTTCACAACCTAGACGCGATACTGTTATTATAGGTCCATCCGATCCTGGTGCGTTCCAGCCACGTTGTCGTCTCGTCCCCCACTAACCTTGCCAGGATCTCATTCAGCAATCTCCTGATGGATAGCGGCTCCATAACTCTGCTGGTGTATCTCAGGTGCAGAAATTCGTCGCACTCCGACTTCTGCTTCTCCCATGATCTCCGACCGGTTGGTAGAGTGATCATCTGCCCTGGGGCATTGAGGCTGCCACTCGAGCCCTGCGCTTCGAAGGTCACAATCACAAGACACGGGTCGTGCCGGAGGGGATGGTGAATTTTCGAAGACACAAGGGAGGGGAGGTAGGAGGAAAAAGATTCAATTCAAGAAGAGGGCCTGACATGGAATGGGGGGAGGGGAAAAAAACAGCAAAGAGAGGGAGGGAAAGAAAGAGAGAAAGAGAGAGAGAAAAAAAAAAAAACTGGTCAAGTTCCCCGTACGGTTCTGGGGGGTGGTTACGCCCGTGTAGGCCGTCCACTGGATGATGTCGCGCCTGCTTTCCTTTTTCCTTTGCTCCCAATGTTCTTCCTCCTCCCCTTACTCATCCGGGTACTAAGGGTTGATTGTGCAGAGTTCTCGGGTGACAGGAGGATGACTGGTGGAGGAGTCAGACCTCTAATCATCACCATTGGGTGTTAGGGAGGTGGGAGCGTGGAAGGAAAGGTCATGGTCCTGGTCGCTTACAGAGGTGCAGATCGGTGTACTATCGGTGGGGAGTTTGCGATATGCAGACCGTGAAGGTGCGGCCCGTTGCGAGCAAGTCCCATCTCGGTGATGACCACCGTAGATCGTTGATGAGAGGCAGCAGACGAGGAAGGAGGTGAAGGAGGGGGAGGGGGAGGGGGAGGGGGAGAGGGACGGAGAAGGGAAGGAGGAGGGGGAGGGGCGTCGGTCGCTGGTGCCGCTCTGCGAAAGTTGAGCGTAGTCTGACCCAGAACTTGCCCGCTCACGTTCCTTTTCCACGTTGCCCCTCGCGGGGAGCTGAGCGGAACCCTCGTTGGTTTTTCGGGGATGCATGTAAGGAGCATGACTCGTGCGAGTGTCGCAGGGATCAGGTAGCTCCACAGGCGATCTTCCTTCATTATGGTGTCCGTGTTCAGCGTCGCATCGCCCTCGAGCTCCTTGACGTATCCCATCATCAAATCTCTGAGGAAGTGGAAGCCGATGGCGGCAAGTACACCATCCTTCCATGTGGTCCTGAGGTAGTGGATCAACATCGATGTTCAGATCTTGATGGAGGACATATCCAGAAAAAGGATATCCGGATGCGCCAGTATATACCAGAGGACGTGGTCAAACCACAGGGGGGTATCCCCGCAGTCCTTGTTCCTCTCCTTCTTGCACTTGCACTTGAGATAGGGCCTACCCACGCTCCAAATCTTTCTAAGATTTCTGAGATCTAACTTGTCCTGTTGCCTGATAGCCTTCTGCCACATCCCGAAGTTCGTTTCTCCACATGTGTCGGGGTCTAATGCGCGCATAGGGGGGAACTTGAGATCCTGAGGATCCATCGGTGTAACTCTCCCGGAGAATTTCAGCTTCCCTTTCTGTACCTGCGCCCTACATTCCTTTACCTGTGCATCGATCATATTGCCCAGGAACTGAAGTGCCTTGACGGAGATTGGTGCGACGTGGTTAAAGCTCTCCATCTTCAAGATCGCGTGTCGGAACCCCGTGGATGTGTGCTCTACCCAGTACGTAGAGGCAAGGGGTGCGAACGCCGTGTACTGATCCCGCTCAGAGGCACTACCACCTACCCTGTCGTTTGCGAGGGGGGAGTCCCTAATGGTGGCCGTGATGGCCTCGATCGCTCGTTCCATTTCCTCCTTCTCTTCCTCCTCGATCGCGAGATCATCACATTTCGCTCTTTGCCCGCCTGCTCGGATCTCGGGGATTCGTCCCTCTAGATGCGAATCATCCACACCCCAGATCCTCAGAAGGATCTGTTCAACTCCGGCTGATCTTCCCCCCAGTTCCCTACACTCCTTAGTATACTCCTGCTTCCTTAGCTCGAGCATCTCGCATAATACCCTCAGTTCATCATCGAATTCGTTCCTACTCCAATCCCAGGCTCCCGTGAGGACGGCAAGGTCACCAAAGCCAAGCACCTCAAAGAAGTGCGGAAAGCATCCGGTGTCCCACGCTAGTTTGATCGCATCCATGACCTTAGGGCTAACACAAGTCATCAGAGCTTGCGTGGGTTTCACGGGCCAGGCGCACTCCTTCAGCCTGTGTCGTCCCCCGTATGTCGTACGGGCCGTCCGGACGGAGGTACAGACGCCCGTACGAGCGTACGGACGCTTCCCGTCCGAACGTGACATAGCCCTCTGGGGGGTGCTGGGGGGGTTTAAGGGCTTGGGGTGTTGGGGGGGGCTTAAGGGCTTGGGGTGTTGGGGGGGGGGGGGTAGGAGCACAAGAGTGCTTTTGAAAAAAAAATATTATTATTTTTTTTGGGTGAAAAATTGAAAAAAAAAAAAGGACTGCCCGCGTCCCTGCGGGGCTCAGCCTGACAGCCAATGCCGCGGGGCAGGGCAGTTTCGAAGGGCCTGCCCTTTGAAACTACCCTGCACCGCGGCACTGGCTGCCAGCGTGAGCCCCGCGGGGACGCGGGTAGTCCTTTTTTTTTCCAATTTTTCACAAAAAAAAAAAACAGGGACTTCACGTGCACTGGGCGGGCCTTGGGGGCGTGGTGTGCTTATAAAATAGGTTGTGGGCATCAACACCCACACTTGTTGTTGTCGCCCACATCAAATTTTTGTGTTGTCGCCCACGCGACAGTGGTGTTGGAGGTTGTTGACGAAAGAGAGAGAGAGAGAGAGAGAGAGAGAGAGAGAGAGAGAGAGAGAGAGAGAGAGAGAGAGAGAGAGAGAGAGAGAGAGAGAGAGAGAGA